AATGAAACTGTAAAAAGTAAAAAAAAAAAAGAAAAAAGAAAAAGGGATATTTTTTAATCATCTTTTTACCATTAAATGCTTCAATAACTTGCTGAAGCGTTTCTAGAGATATTCCACTGTATCCTTTTGCTAGGACATTGATTCTCAGCGCCAACAGCATGCGAGATCTCTCTGGGCTCAAAGGTTTCCCCACACCTGAAACAGGAACCCTCTCAGTTACTAACCCACTACTGTACCAGGAGCAGCAGAAAAGGGAAACATCAAGAAATTTCTCATTACCTGCAGAATGTGAACGAACTAAGTTCACTTGAAGCTCCCTGTGGAAAAAAAAAAAGTAAAAACCCAACTAAGTCATAGAATCATAGAATCATAGAACAATTCAGGTTGGAAATGACCCTTGGGATCATCGAGTCCAGCCATTAACCCTGCACTACAAGTTCACCCCTAAACCATATCACCCAACACAACATCTAAGCGACACTTGAACACCCCCAGGGATGGCGACTCAACCACCTCCCCAGGCAGTCTATTCCAGTGTCTGACCACTCCTTCCATGAAGAATTTCTTCCTAATGTCCAGCCTAAACTTGCCCTTGTTGCAAGTTGTTGCAACTTGAAACCATTCCCCCTGGTTCTGTCCCTAATTACCTGTGAGACCAGCACCAACCTCTCTACAATGTCCTTTCAAGTAACTGTAGAGCATGATGAGATCCCCCCTCAGCCTCCTCTTCATCAAACTGAACAGACCCTGCTCCCTCAATCGCTCCTCATAAGGTCTGTTGTCCAGGCCCCTCACCAGCTTTTCTGCCCTCTTCTGCACTCGCTCCAACACCTCGATATGTCTCACCAGGCTCACCACCCACAGCAGAGGGAAATACTGAAGGAGTCCTCTCATCTAACCACAGAGTATAAATGTACAGGATCAAACTGCTCCCTCCTCTTCCTTTCCCGAAAACAAAGGATTCAAAAGAAAGCCACATGCACAACTCACCTCAGCTTACTGTTTGGGATGACAGTCCTGGCAAACTTCCCAAATCCTGTGGTGATTCCATAAACAACTGCAAGAAACGTACACTGATGGTTAAGGAGGGAAGCCAATGAAGTTTTCAAAACAAGGGTTAGAGATAAAAATATTTACCAGTCTGCTCCTTTACGATCCTTTCAATCACTTCTCGTGATTGGTTGACTTTAGCTTCAGCTTCAGGTGTAAGCTACAACATAGTTTAAACATAAGTTTATCTATTATCATTTAAGTTTAATTGTAGACAGACAAATGTAATTTTTAGCAGCATTTCTTCAGAAACCTTACCTTTATCTTGTAGAGCCCCTTTCCTAAATTGACCAAGTCCTCCGTTGTTAAGCTGTTGCCATCCAAAGAAATATACTATACCAAAAAAACACCCTTTAGTTTGGGATACATATAAAGTTGTTTAAGAATCAGAATTGTTTTAAAAAATACAGTCAAAACTCTTGAATAACAGGAAGCTTGCTCATATTCATTCATGAAACAGGAACTTATTAACAAAAACGTTATAAGCACATTATAATTTAGATTCCTAGACCCAGCCAATCTAACAGCCCCTGCTCTTGTGAACACTGCAGTGGCTGAACTCTCAGCACATTCTGGTGAATAGCAGGATTTGTTACTGCGTGGTAAAATTGTTACCGATTCCTACCTGCTCTGGTTCTCGGTATTTGCTGTATCTGAAAGTTTTGTAAAGGAAAACAAAGGGCGAACAGGATTTCACAGGTAGTGACCATTCAATTACAGCTGGCAATTAAGAAGGAAGGAACTCTAAAAGAATAGGGGATTTTAGAAAATTATAAATCTGGAGTTATAAAAATTTCACAAAGCGCTCAAAAAAAGGATACAAATGAACTCCTTCTGGCTGAGATGGTATGAAATCTGGAGACATTATATCTCCTTCTATAACTAGAAGAAATATGCAGAATAAATAAAAATAGGATTAAATTGCACTCTACATATAAATTTGTTGTTCATTACAACACACAGCAGTAAAAATTCTAATCTGCAGTTACCAGCCCTGAACATCTTGGCATGCTCCTAGGAAAATAACAGGGAAGTATGTATTTATTGAAGGCACTCTAAAGGCAAAAGGATAATAGCCCAATCCAGGCATATACTACATATGACAACATATTCAGATGATGTATATAGAATCCTGTTAAAACATTTTGGTCTTCTTCCATAAAAATTGAAAACACTCTCTCAGATGCAATTTTAGATAACCTAAGCCACAGTTTGCTGCCTCAGATGCCACCGCAGTCACGCCACGAAGTGTCACGTAAGATTTTGCTTACCAACTTCAACAAATTCATTATCCTCTAGAGCATCCTCCACTGTATCATCAAGATCCAGCAAGCCAAGGCCCTTGCACCTTCGAATGTAAAATTTTACTTCTTCCACCGAGGCAAATCCCCCGTTGTCAGGTTTGTTTTTCATGTACCGTCTCACAGCTTCCTTTCCCAGCCACCTAATTGTGTTCGTGCAGTTTAGGCACGGCACTGCCAGCCATTCTCCTCGGACATGCACTGTGTATCTCGGCATGTTTTCTCTCCAAAAATGTCCCTTGACTGCAAAGGGCTGAGGTGTGCAGCAGCCTTACACCCACGACGCAATGGCCTGAAGAACAGTGTCCAGCTGGAGCGCAGTGTCGCAATCAGGGACTGAGGCAAAAATCCACCCCCAAAATCCCCACCTTTGCAAATAAGTGAGGTCGAGGTATTCAGTTGATTTCATCCAATCAAACCAAACCCAGGCAGCACACCCTTTTCGCGGAAAGGCAACCCCCACCCATTGCTAGCTATTGCCACATGAAATTTTTTTTCCAAAGATCACATCAGGAACATAGAAATTAAAATCTAGGAGCTGGAGCTTATATACCAATAATAGATAACTGAACAAAACAGACTAAGCTGGAAAGCAACTGTTCTAAAAACGTAAGGATTTAACAAGAGTTGTCACCTGGCAGTAGATCACACACACTGATGAAAAGCTCCGTGAAGGACAGGGCTGGAAGAGTCACCCCATTACTATGGGTTGGGTCATGGCTGCTTGGATTGAAAGGAGACCGGGTTATACGTTTACATCTCTATCCAGAGCAGGATAAAAGCAGGCAGTAGAGGAAGCACTCCTGCTTTGCTCAGTCCCATGCTGAAGTCTGAGAATATAATTTTGTATTGTAGGTGAGGAAAAGATTCATCAATTTCCGTTACCCTTTCACTCAAGCTCTGGAAGATGTTGGTAAAACCGGGTGGCAACAAATATTAGGTCATGCCTGCACACTACCAAGCCTAGTGCTGCTATACTGCACTGCTTCTGCAGGCAGATGCAAAAAGGAAAAAAGGTGGAGAAACACCTGCTAGGATGGTGCCAAAATAACGTTTGGCAACATCCACATCCACACAGAAGCTGAAAATATTTTAAAATAACAACACTCGCAGCCGATGCTACACACAATAGTGTTCTCAGACTAAAGGACTACTATAAAGTGTGCTTACCTGGGGTAGAATTATTGTAAGGTTAACACAAAGAAGCTTGCAAGTTCATTACATACAAGTAAATTTAGTTCCAAAAAAGCCAGTATTTTGTTGTGTGTATTAAAAGCTGAGTGGTGTTAACAACTGTAAAAAGAATTTAAACTGATTTCTGAGCCTTAGTCACCTACAAGTTAATTTTTTTATCATTTCCATTTAAGCTATTTAGCCATATGTAGGTCAAGGTTGAATGGAAGAACTCAGGATGCCTTGAGTCAATAAAATCCAACAGGATGTGTTCCTGCACTCATTTATATTAAGAGCTGCTAGGATGAAAAGATGAATCTCCTGGTAAATTACATAACTTCTTCTGCCTGAAAGCTTATACTGATCAAAACTCAGAACAGAAATAGATTGACAGGTGCTCCACTCCCATCCTATGTGCTATTATTAAATTCAAGCCCTTTGCTACAACCTATATTTGGTATCCTCCTTCTCTAAATTAGCACTTCTGTTGTTGTTAATCTCTGATAGGTGGTTATCTCTCTGTGTCAATAGACTTAATTTATGCTAACTCACCACCTGCAGGAAAAGCAATTCTTATCAAACTCACTTCAAAAACCACTCTATAGATGGCAGTATTCACAACATTTCACTTAAGCTATCAACTTGAAAAAAACCTGCCCCCTTATTTTTAGACTCATCTCTAAGTTGTTATATTAGCATAAAGGATGGTGCCCAGAACTTGTTGATAGATGCAAATATTGAAAAATTCAAACTGCGGCAGGAAAAGACTGGGGTTTTAGTTCCCTCTGCAATAATTAGAAGTTTTGAAAATATAAAGTGGGCCGAAATAATTTTACTAAGTTACTGAAAGCATAGCAAAATATTTAATGTGAAATTTGGTAAAGTTTCCAGGTTTGCTAAAAAGAAAAGAAAACAAGGAAGTATTTCAGACAGCTCTCTTCAGAAAAACTATTAGGGTACAGCATAGGATCCAACAGGAATAATTAAGTAAAACCATTACATTTTGATTAACATGAGAAATCAACTAATGTAACACAGCTGTGACAAACAGGGCTAGAGGGAAATTCTGTTCCAACACTAGAACGCTGTAATCCATTTAGGTCTTCATAGTTCTCTTGGGCCCATAATAATAGTTTCATTTATTTTTTGTGGGAGAAGTTTTTATGTCAAAACTTTTCACAGATCAAAAAGCAGACACATCAACAACGAAAAGATTTATTTTTTTACTCTTTGGATACCTGAAGTTTCAACCACATTGCTATGAAAAAGCAAGCTGTGCACAAAGAACCAGACCATCCACCAATTAATTTTCCATATTTTTAAATTCCATGATTGACAAATGACAACATCTCAGAAGAGCTTTTTTGTGCATTCTAAAAATTGTTTGTAACAAAACCATTCTCCCAATTCCAGATATATAGCAATCTTGCAAAATAGGAAGTACTGAACTTGATTTGGAAAGTTCGTTTTACACTAAATTAGTATGAAAGCAGCAGAGCATTTTATGGCATAACCAAGCACATATATCATCCATTTGTGGAATCAGTCTCTTCTTTCAGCAACAACAGTATTTCAAAGGAATTGGTAAATTTGTCACTGATCCTGTTTCAAGTCTTTGCCCACAAGCATTGAAGTGACTGGGTGCATAGAAGCTCTATGCTCCAAAAATGTCTTCACAGCCAGATCTCGACACTTGTCAAAACTGTAAAGGTCCCTGTAATAGCAGAGAAGAAAAAATAAAAAAAAAAGCTGTTACAAAAATCTTTGAAAATAGTATCGTGGGTCTATTCTCGATATTTTATTTTTCCCTTCAAAGTCTCACATTGAGGTGCCTACTAGAAGTTCACAGAACACAGAAAATTTTGCATTATATGTATTTTTGTCATGTTATTTTTGTTATGCTTCTAAGTGATAATTGTCAAGTATTGCACATTCCATTATAATAAAAATGATGACAGCATGAGCTGCTACAATTTGGAGATAACTGTTACCTGAACAAGGGTCGAGTAAACTTCATCCTGCCCTGGTCTGTTGCCATTTTTAGAGCCAGAGGAATAGCTTCTTCCCACTTGGACTTGATACAGAGGCGCAGCCACCTGGGAACAAATAAGTAAGTAAGAATTTACACTATTACTTTCATTGGCAGTTGTTAGTTATGATTCTGTTCTCATAAACACTCTGGGTGGTGCCGTGCCATCATGGAAATGAGATTCTAGCTAAGATCAACGTAAAACAGTTCATGTCTGACTAGCATGTTAGAAAAGTGGAATTTCCTACAAAACAGTAAAAAATTGCTTCAAAGTTTCTCCAAAGTGGTCTCATCATTTTGTGCAGCTATGTATTTGTTTTATATTACAGTAGTGTCCAGTTGCATCACTCAGAATTAGAGCTGAGTTATACCAGCACTTGCCATATTTGACCAAGTGATTAAAAAAAACCACCCAAACAATACATGGCCACCAACTGGCACACACTTGTTTTATTTTACAAATAAGCAGAAATTGATCTTGTTACAAAAGGTAGAAAATATACTGTATGTTTAAAATACTTAGGTTTTTAATAAGAAATAGAGAACTCCTCGTTAGTTAAGGAAGAATAACAATCAATACTGCAAATATATCCAAGTATATAACAGCAGCGAAATATGCAATGATCCCAGATACTTATAAAGATTACTTATGGCCTCAACAACAGCATATCCTGGGTTTGAGTCTGATGGGGTTTTTTTTGTAAAAGTGTGAGTAGACTAATAGGAAACTTTTGAGAGCCTCCCCTACCCCCAGGTAGGAGTTGGACCTGCCTGCCAGGGCCAGGCCAATCAGCGCTTCTGCCATTTAAGCGGCAACCCCATTGTTCTTTCTTTCTCTTTTGGTTTCTTCCTGTTTTGAGCTGTCCTGTCTTTAATGTTGGAGAGTTTCTTCCGCTGGAAGAGGGGGTGGTGAGAGGAGAACAAAGGAACATTGCCCTGAGAAGAAAGAGGGGAAGAAGAGTCCCAGACAAGAAGAAGGCTGCCAGAGCAGGACCTTTCCCTGGAGCCTGTGTTGGCTGAGAAGGCAGGAAGGTGATGGCTGGCCAGATGAGGGAATCGACAGCGACAAGAACGTCCAGGATGCGTCAGTATGTGCAGAGCCCCATGCAAGAGGGGAAACTGAGCATCAGCGGGGGACGTGCCCGAAGTGATCCATGGCCCTGAGGGACTTCCAAGGAGGAAGAGGATTGCCTCCTGGGAGGTGGACATCACGCAGCAGGAAGGAGAGCCTGCGAGGAGCCCTCTTTCTCAAGGAGGAGCTGCCACGGGCAATGGGTAATGGCCAGATGGACTGCACCCCCGGCCCCCTTGCACTGATGTCAGGGAGGAGGTAGCCGAGAAGACACGAGATGGGGGGCGAAGTGTATTTAAGATTGGGTTGTATTTATTAATATATTCCTCTCACAATCCTACTTTGTAAATGGTGGTGGTGAATTAAATCTATTTTTCTCCCCAAGTCTCTGTTCCTTTACCCGTCATCTTAAATGGTAGATTATTATTCTCCCTATCCTTAACCTCAACCCTTGAGCCTTTTTAGCTAAATTTTCTCCCTCCATATCACTGTCGAAATAGGGATGAGAGGAGCAGTGAGCTGGAAACTGCATGGGTTTTTGTCCCAGCTGGCTTGAACCTCAATAAACAGCTTTTTTAAACAAATGATATGCGTAAACACAAAATACAAGAAATTGAGGTGGCACAAGAATCAAGCCATTTAGCCAGAAACACTTCCTACTTGCTTAGAAACTTTTTTTTTTTTTATGTGACAAAAGCTTTGTGGTAGTGCGCATTAAAATGTGACAAAAGAAGTTTCCCAGTTGTGTCAAAAAAAACCCAGTGGCACATCAGCAGAAGAACTGATCCTGACTCAATATTGGAAAGATTGTTCAGGAATCTTTGAGTTATGCAGAGGGTGAACATTGTACTACCCAATACCGCCCCCAAAACAAGTTACTGTCAGGTTGTCAGGTTCCTTTGCTAGCATGACAGATGAAAACAAGGCACAACTAACCCACTGCTCACTTCCAGTTCTGCTACTAACTCTATTTACCCAATTCCTAAGTAACAGAAGACCATTCTGGTAAACATGCTTGCACATGCACGTTATAATAAAAAACCACAACACAATAAGCCCCCAAACCCCCTGCACCAGTTCTGTACAACAGTATGTATGCCTCTGATCATTTATGAAATAGGACACTTTGTTTTATAGAATCATAGAATTACAGAATGGCCTAGGCTGGAAGGGAGATCATTTTAATCCAACCTCCCTGTCATGGGCAGAGACGCCACCTCTCGACTAGATCAGGCAACACAGATGGACCGAACTTGTGACACAATTTACAAGAGGTCTATTATAATGAAATATATTTCAGTTTTAGTTAGTAGCACTTTGTGCATAGGTGACACTATGCCTTGAAACCATGCACTCCTAAAATGATCAATACTCCTGCTTGCACATATACTATAGCTTATAACTGAACAGAGAATTTGTTGTAACAAACTGTCAGAAAGAATCTTTCCTGGCAACTTTCAAATCAAAATGAATTTCCACCAGAAAAAAAATATTTTGAAAATATTAACAGCAATGTCTTGGGTTTTTTCTTCCTATATGCACATAAATCAATTTCTACAGTACTACTTCCTAATAGAACTATCATGGGAAGACTTTCACCCTGCTTCCAAACTGCCTCATGACTGTTTGGAAATGAAAGCATTTAAAGATTACAAAAATGCCCATACTAGAACTAACCTGAATCTTATTTCAGAATTGTTTATAGCATTGAAGTCATACACTTGCTGCATTCGCTGGACATGCGACACTGGAAGAGGAGCCTGAAAAAGGAAATTGTGTAGTCAGAAGCCAGAGGCACACCTCAAGTCACACACTTAAAAAAATATACAGTTTCATTCGAAAAGATTGATGCTACAAAGGAATTAAAAGTTTACCATGACAAATGTTTGCATTTGTTCCTTTCCCTTCTCACAGTAGTAGGGAAGGCCAAGGAATAAACTTGAGGAAATTCCCACATCCAGTACTACCAAAACATTCAAAACTATTTTCATTCCATTTTATTTAAGGCTTCTTTGCTGTAATCAAATACAGACAAATTCAAGCACCTTACATTTTTGTTTTAATCTTTCAATCCAAAATGCTCTCTGTGTTGCTCATCAGCAGTTGAAGAGCCAGACATAAATGAGGGAGGCACAGCTGAAAGTTTTAGTTAACTATGTATGGTGAGAGCGCATTATTCTAGCAAAACCTAGAAGAAAGTGGACAACTGAATTCCAAAGCACACTTGTGCTTCTGTTCTGCTTTTGTGATACCAGAATCAAGTTACCCCAGGCAGACATTTTACCTCCAGAAGCAACAATGCCAGGAACTCAATCAACTGATGAGACGACATTTCCTTCAGATCTGCTGAGCTGAATGAGCCCAAATCACTCTCTTTTGCCTGAAAGAGAATGGTTTTAGATGTTTCAAAGTACAATCATTTGCAATTTTTCGTTTGGACATCCACATTTTACACATAAAAAAGATACTGATTTGTATTTGCGCAAGATGTTACAAGAAGGGGAAGGGAGGGGCTTAAGCTACTTCTCTCCACTGATCTTTTTATTTCCACTGTCCTTCTGTTAAAGTGAAAAATCAAATACTTCTATAAAAAGTAACACTGAGAAGAAGAAAGTTAAAGATAATATACAAGTACAGTGAAAAGCTACAGAGCTAACAAAAGGAGGGTAAGCTGAATTATTCATTAGTTGCATCGGCTTATGGCTAAAATTATGAGGAAAAATCTATGGTATTACTTACTCAGTATGATTTACGTATTTCAGGTTTTGATGAGAAATGCATACTAGCTCCAGTATAACATAAGGTAATTATTGCTTATACAATACGGTCAGTAATGTAGCTATCGCTTGGCATTTGTTTTTAAATCAAGCCATAATATCAGGGTTTCAAAGAAGGTATTGTCAGTTCAGTTAGTTCATATATATATATATATA